TGTGTGTGTGTGTGTGTGTGTGTGTGTGTGTGTGTGTGTGTGTGTGTGTGTGTGTGTGTGTTTGTGTTTGTAGGCAGCGTGGCAGAGAGGCTCCTCGGTCGTCTGGAGCAGATGATGTCCTCAAACCTTCAGACCGAACCAGAACCATCGTCTGGACTATATCAAAACCGTCCCCGGTGCAGGTAGACCTGGTCTTTACTGATCCCCTCAGAGAGGTCTGTTTGTTTCTGAAAACCTGTGTGTGTCTGTGTGTGTCTGTCTCTGTGTCCAGGTGTGAGGAGCAGGACATCCTGTCCAACTCTAAAGGTATGCAGAGTGTTTCTAAGCTGAGTCACACCTTCTGAGCAGTGTCTGTACAGGTGAGGACATGTTGACGTCCTGTTGTCTGTCCAGAGGTGGTCCTGCAGGAGGAACTGAGCACGGCTCGCTGCAGACTGCTCCAGCTCCAGGACCAGGTCTCAGAACTACAGAAGGTCCTGCAGGACACACAGAGCCGCCTGAGGGACACAGAGACAGGTTCAGACCTGCATCAGCTACATGTGTCCAAACGTTAGGCTCACTGAGGACAGCTAATGTTTAGCCACACAAACACAGRCCTTCAGCTGCTTCAAGCTGGCCTTTGGCTGCTTGCCTTTAAAACCTTTAGCATCAAATTAGCCTTTGGACTGTTGAAATTAGCCTCCTGTTTGCATTTGGCTCCTTTTAGATTTTAGTTCTGTTACGATCAGTTATCATGTTGCTTATTTTTGCTATCATTTTGATAGTTTTAGCTTTTAGATAGAATTTGGCAACCTTTAGCGTTCGTCTAGCTTTTTCCCATCCTCAACCTATTTTAGTTTTAGCTTGCCTTTTGCTACTTCTACCTTTATGTTAGCTACTTTAAACTCACTCATTGATATCTTTAGCTTTTTTCTACTTTTGCTTGTTTAAAGAGTAACTTACCCCAAAATTAACTTTTTTAGCTGACAAACTGATGGTGGACAGCTCAGCCGAGGCTGCGGTAAAGAGCTCCATGTCCTGATCCAGGGAGACAACACGAGTCAGTCCCAGACTGAGCTGACTTGATCAAGTCTCTCTCTGCCTCTGGTGAGGAGGGGGGTGAAAAATCCTCCAACTCAGACCGTTCAGATGTAACTATCTGCGTCGTTGTGATCATTTTCCATGTAGCATCAATTATGCTAATGCTAGCTGTCACGTTCTCTCGTCCTGGCCACACCTCCGCTCTCTAACCC